CCTTGTTCATAGTCAAACTCGACGTTTGATATAAACAATAACTAAATAGTTGACCAGGTTAAAGAAATTATTGTCAAATGATTGTTAATTTATGGATGAGAGCCATCAAACCTATAGGAATTTATATCATAAAATCATATCATTTTGACACCAATAACAATAAATTAAACAAACTTCGCTGAGTCATTTGTCCGAACTAGCTAGATCCAAATATCAACACACTAGCAGGTGTGCGGATAAATCATGAATAACGTCATAGTTCTCACCCCCTCGAAATCAGTATAAAGAGGGCTCCCGGCCAGTATCGGGGTGGCCTCCAACTTAGAAGGAAATAACGGATTGACGATCCTCATCGCTGACCGCTAAAGACGGACAACACGGTTAGATTCTACGAGCTACAACTTAGTAAGTAGAACTCTCTCCCTTCTCTCAGGTGGACTAGGGCTAATACCTAAATAGATATTAAGAAGGATCCAAGAATATCCTCTATCGTAATTATGCGAGTTGTAGCCGGAAAACCGCCTATTGTAACCTCGGTTAGAGATTAGTAGTATTTTTAATTATTATAACCCTTTCATATATATCCTTAGTTAATTAAAAATATATATATATTATTTTAAATATGTGTGTTTACTCGTACTCGGTCAACACCTTATCGACTTATCCGCGACCTCCCACTCGATTTTCGCCCTTCTAAATTGCCATCCACTGACCCTGTGAGCGGGACTCACCGCCCCGTTGTCGGAAAACGGTTCAAGCTTTGATGCTTAAACCCCGATTCTCACACACTTGTAATAAAACTTTACGGTTGGGGTCAATGTGAGGCTTTGGAAAGTGATTGGGGTCGACGGTTAAAAAAGTTTGGCGACCCCTGGTGTAAGGATACTCGATCGTCTTATGTTTATTTGACCAGAGGGCAATGGAAATGCCAGGTGGAGAGAAAATGGGTGTTTTTCACATTATACTTAATCTAATTAATTAATTGCAAATTGCCCTCAGAATCTCACATCATAAACACTTGCTGATGAAAGAATAAAGGATAGAGATTCCATAGCATGTTTAGTAAAAGTCCAGCATTTTTAGAACTCAGTTATATTGCACTTTTTCTTTGTCTCCCAACAATCACAATATAACGAGGGGCTACTGTATTTAACAGTTTAAATATAAAACAAGATTAAATTACAGCATTTAAATTTTTTTTTTACTGTAAAAGTATTAAAAAACAAAAATAAAAATGTTTTATATGTAAATTTTTTTGTATCTTTACTGTATAATTCTTTTGATAGCATATTTTTTATTATTTTTAATCAAAATAATCTATAAAGTATAATTAATTGATTAAATATTGAAATACAAATTTGATCAAATTAAACTGTTACATTACTTAACTGAAATATTTAATTTTTTTAAAGTGACTCCAGGGCAAGATCAGTCCAAAAAGCAATCAATTTCTAGGATACAAAAACCTAGAGAAATTCCTATCAGAAGACAAAGTATTGGTAAGTTCGTAAAAACATAAAATATAAATACTTTCATTTTTAGTATGTAAACTTCTTGGATTATGCAAATTTAAACAGTTTTAGAATAGAGTAATTTAATTGTTTAAAAAGTTGAACTTACAACATTTGGTTGTTTATTAGGGTGGTCCATAAAAATTTTTTTTTGTTTTTCAGTTTGGCCACCCCATAAATTTGTAACATGTATCCATAGCAATAACATTGTATAATTTCAGTTGGCTAGCTTTAGCAGAAGAGGGTGCTCAATCAAGTGCTGTTTTTGAAATTTTTGTGAAAAATGCTTGATCTTGATTTTTTGTTACAGGTCAGTTTTGTGTGTTAAATTAATCAAATCTACTTTTAAATACAACTGTTAAAAAGTTTTATAGAAGAACGTAAAAAACTTTGGTACTTATTTACTAGACTGTGAGTGAATCGGTGCATTAAAATGAGTTCATCAACTCGAAAAAAAGACGACATTTTTCTACTTGGATGTCGGGATCTTGAGTCATTGGTAAGGATTAACCAACTTCCAACTCTTCAGCAAGTTCTACTTTGTTAACACCACACATTAAATGAATCAAAAAATGTGAAAGATTCTGCGCATATGCTCATTCAATAAGTCATAGAGGTGTGGAGAAAATCTGGCATTCCAACCAGACAATCAAATCACTGCGTTGAAAAACTTATAAAAATTCATAAGAAATAGCTGCTTTCAAAGAAAAATAAAATGAGATTCGGAAGTGCAGAAAAATAGAGAGCATTTGTTTACAGAAGAGCTAGACAAACTTTTTGATATTGCCCATTTACATGCCATGAACTTAATCAAAATTGCAGAAGACAGAGAGTTTCTCATTGATCAAAGAGGTGAGCGTAAGACATCAATTGACAAGAAGCTGGAAAAGACCAAAGAACGTTCTCTAAAATGAAAACAAAGAGCTGAAGAATTAAGAGAAAAGGATGCTAAAAGTAATGCTTCAACTTCCGTAGTGTTAAGTTAAAAACTAGAACTTGATTTCAGCTTCAGTAGCACTTCTAGTGCTGATAGCACTTTAAAAGATAAGCAAGAAGATGATTTTGTGGTTGCTTTACCATCAAGGACTCTTTCTTGCAATTACCTCCTGAGACTTGGGGTGACAATGTTGATTACCTACAAGGCAAAAGTTGCATAAGAAATTTGCATGTGGTCAACGACACTGCGGTGAGGGGTGTAAAACTATTTGAAGATTACAATACTATACTCACTAAGAATGAGGAAGAAAAACAATTTTTACTTCATGTTGTTGAACAGAACAGAAAGATTGTTTCTACTGAAACATTCAAAAAAGTGCTAACAAACTTAGTTTTAGGTTGAGAAAAAAGAGCTGTAATTAATATTATTTTAAGTATTGCTTTGCTTATAACATTTTGTGTGTGTTTAAATACTATATTTGAATAAAAAAAACTTACTTTTGATACATAGTTTACGTTTTTTACTTAATATCCTGACTAGTTCTTTTTAAGAATTTTTTTCATAAAATTCAGATATTCCAAAGTCGATGAGCACCCCCTTGTATATAAGATAAGGGGCTGAAATTTTGAACACATAATAGGAATGGTAGGTGTAACAAAACAAGGGGGTAGCATGATGTTCACTTGAAAAATTTTTTTTTTTGCTATTTAAGCATGGACCACCCTATTGTTTATAAATAATTTGTTAAAATACAAAAATTAATTTTAGACAAGAAATACTGACATTATCATAAATATAAATGTAATAAAAAATTAAAATAAAGATTTTTAAGGAATCATAACAAAACACCAATGAATGTAAAATGCCATTCAATTAATACTGTTTATAGGTATATTTACTAGATTTTATGGTAAAGTTGCTGTAGACTTGTTTGGACAATATAGAGAGTTAAAATAAAATTAATTAAAGAGAATTAAAAAAGCTATGATAAAAGAGAAGAAAGAAATATATTCAGATCTTCATCTGATATTATAAAATACATTAAAAAAATTTTCACTTGAATCTCAATATAAGTATACTGAAAATGGAAAGTTCTACATATCATAAGAATGGCAATAGCCAATTCTGGAACTACTTGATATGGGCTTGATTCTAGGTGACACTTCAGATTTTTTTTTTTTTATTATTATTAAAAAGTATGTAACAGTTATTTTATTATTTTAGCTTAACATTATCATTATTATTCCTCACATTTAGAGTTATAAAACAAGATTAAAAATTGTGATGTCATTTCCTGTTTATCAAAAATGAAATTTCTTTGGATTTAACTCTTTTATGCTGTTAAATAAAATTTTTATTTCTTCATATTTATTTTCAGATATTTTAGCTTCTGGTTACATACTCTGTTAACACAAGCAAATAACCTTCAGACATTACTGCTCATGGATGAAAAAGACAGATATGAAGTAGGATAGCATAGTTGCAGTGTTTTTCTTCTAATTGTTAATGTTGTGGACAATTTCCATATGTTACACTTCAAATAAAACAATACCACCAAATCTGAAACTTACATGAGGAATAAAAATAGTAATAATAATGCTAATAATACAGTAAAATAATAAAATAACTATGTTATACATTTAAAAAATGAAATAAAATAAACGAAACTCTCAAAGGATTGAACCCATATCATGTAGGTCCAGCATCTAAAACCTTATCCACTTGGATACTGCCATTTTTATTATATGTAGAACTTCCAGACTTATAAGCTATACATAATTTTCAGAGGCTTGTTTTTCGGAAATGTTTGAGAAGTGGGTCCTATTATTTGGACAAGGAACTACAGTCTACCCCCCTATAAGATCATAGATACGTTCCATTCTTTAGGAATCCGATTTCTTACGAGTCCTTCCAATCACAGCCCGACACGTGTGAAGTTTATGGACTACGGCTGATTGAAAGGTTTTCTTCCATAAAATTAATCGATTCTAGACTAATCTGACTCAACATTTCCAAAATACATATATATTTTTTGGAAATAATTCGTATAAACTACGCTATAAACAAAAAATTGTAGGATTACTTACCGAGTGTGCACCATTCGACATCGCCATTGCTAAAGCTTGTTTTCGTCGCGGAACAGCTCAGCAAACAGCGGCCGATTTCTAATAACTTATTTTTCTGCGAAAACTTCGTTGAACTTTGGAGACATCATTAATATAAATAATTTTTATGGCCGTTGAATAAGAAGTGTTTCTTTCACAAGAAATGTATAAAATTAGTGCTGTATTAGACTTACGGTACCTAATTTACATACTGTACAGATGATAATAAACTGAACTTACTAGCCTAAAATCTCCGTAGCGTGTTGCCAGGCGGCAGAAAGCATATATATAATTATAATAAAGTTACAATAAATTAAGTTAATATATAATTATATATACAGTACCTAATTTATATATAATTAATATATAATTATATGTACAGTACCTAATTTATATATAATACTGTACAGACGATAGCAAACTCTCCGTAGCGTGGCACTTGACGGCGGAAAATAGTTCGGCTACTCGATGACGTTTTACGTAATTATAGAAGTTTTTTTACCTTTTTTTTACAGATACCGTCGCAATTTTTTGCAGTTTTATAGGAATCGTAATTATAGGGGGGGTCTACTGTATTTGTGTTTAGGGCTACATGTTCCCCAAGTTTTGTTCAAATCAGAAAGGACAACATCTGGCTGTCTCCTTGTTAGTGTCTTCAAAGAAATATGGGTTTAAGATGCAAAATGATACTATACCACATCACACTGTTACATATTCACTACAAAGCAGTTTTTCATACAGCTAGAGTGGTTTTATGGTGCCTAGTATTGGAAATTCTCACTCCTGGATAGTTCAAAATGGATCTCATCAAACATCATGACATTATTCAGGATCTGCAAATCAGCTGCAAAGTGTCTAAGAAAGTTTGTGACAATGGTTCTTTGGACATCTTTGTCCTATGCTATCAGCTGTTGTATGACCTGCATTTTGTATGGCTAAAAGTACAGGTCATTGAGAATGATGGGGGGGATCAAGAAGTGAGGCAAAATTTATAGTGCTAAGGCCTAACCAATAGTCAATTGTTGAGGACTTCAGATTAGAACCTTTTGGGCTTCCTGCACTTACAGAGGAAGTCTGTTGTGTCCTTAGACAGCCAGTGCTTATTTTCGTACTGCATTATTTAGTTCTAAAGATTGCTTTACCCATCTTATAATTGTCCAGTGGTCAGTCTAGGACTTTGTAATGACATTCCAGCCGAAGATGGCCACAAAAGATCTTTTATACAGTGGCAGAGACTCATTAAAATAAGTCTCTATGGCAAATACATGACATTTTGCCAACTATGAAACTATAATTATTAACAGCTTTCCTTTCCCAATCTAGTTGAAGTCCACATCCCATGCATGTGCAGACAACACCACCATACAACATGAATCAAACCAGATTATGTATCTTGCTCAATCCTGTACTTGCAACTGGTAACAACATTCAGTAATTTGTTTTTCAGTATGACAAATGTGTCTATGTAGGAAATAGAAATATAATATGAAGATATATATATTAAAATAGAATACTCACACTTCAACTTGAAAAATTAAGCTAAATCTAAATTAGTAGTTATTTATTGTGACATCGTCACAATGCCAGGCTGCAATTTTCAATTTATTTAATTTAAAATATATGCTCTCAATCTCNTGGTTATATTTTTCAAATAAAAAATTTCACCGAAGACTTTCTGATTATTCTTCATAATTTAACAGTTACTGTAATTTACTTTTTATAGGCCAGCCTCGTGTCTTTGATTCTCGCACTTTTACTCGCTCAAGAAAAAAGAGAAATTCAATTGAATTACCTGTGATAGAACCTCTTGATTTTACTGATGCAGCTGAGAAGGATATATCTACAGAAAAATCTAATAGTTCTACCTTAGAGAAGGATCTCAGTATGTCAAAAATTTTAAATTTGACAGATGTTAGTGAAGTTCAAGAAATAGCACGAATGCAAGAAGAAAGTAAGTCATATTTTAATATAACTGGTTTTGTGTATAAAATGAGTTATTTAATTTTTTGAAGCTTTACATAATAATTACTTGAATAATTTTAATTAAAATTTTAGAAATACTTTACCTTTAACAAACATATACAGACACTTTTATGTGCTACTTCCAGCACAGATGGTTAATAAATGTTAAATAAATGGAAGAAAACAAATGTGTTTTGGCCATTTTAGTGGCCCTCCTTACATTTCAAAAACTTTTTCACACCTTTAAATGAGTTTGTATGTTCAATAAAAGAATTTTTATCAATGAATTTTTTACAAACATTTGAACAAATGTAGACATTGGAAATATGGTGCATTCTTTACTCTGATCACTTATATAAATTAAAATTAAAGATTACAGCATATTTTTAGGGAATAAACATAACATTCAAACTAAAGTTATCAATGCTTGCCATGCTTGCAGCAGATTTAGTTTGTCTTTATTATTAATACATTAGAAATAGATAAATAAATAAAACTCATGCCAAAATTGTATAGCTTCTTGATAAAAAGCACTGAGTTCAGTGTTAATACGATTTTTCTTATATCGCAAGTACTTTTGATGAGTATTATATCGTCGTCCTCAGGCAAAAAAAAAAGAACAAATTTGAAAATTAGAACGTGCAGAGTGTTCCAAGTAGAAAACGGAAACATTTTTTTTTTCTTGTCAATTTCTAAATTATAACATTCAGTAATTCCGTTGGTCATGTGCAACAAGCTTTTGCGGGCATTCAAAATAACTTAAATCCACACGACTAGCAGCACATGCATTGAGGAATGATCATACTAATTGTGCGACTCTTGGCGCTTTTTGCTGTTTAAACGCTGGTATAAAGTAACCCATATTTCGGGCAAGTCGAGTGTGGGGACGTTGCATGCATCTGTGGTCATTGTAAGGAGCGCTTCCCAAATAAATGTAATTCTTCTGTTGTTACAGCTCCTGAGCAATGCTGTTTTTGACCATAACGGGTTATAGCCCTGCTGTAGAACTTTTTTGGCGAGCTCTGTGGTCTGTCTACCTTTGTTTATATCCTCCTGATGTTCTGCGATATGGCAAGCGAGCATTCTTGTCGTTGCCTCTATATACTTCTCAATTGTCCCCGTTACTGGATTTTCCAGTTGCACTGCGTATATTCCCGATTTTTCTAAAACGTTTACTATATCCCAATCATTGCATATACTCCTGCGTAGGCTGGAGTTAAAGGAAGAGTAAAGCTGTATCGCCGGAAAATACGGCTAATAAGTATGGACGGTGCTCCTAGGTACGGTAGTGCTGATTGTACTCTAGACATTTCTTTTTTGCTATGTAGTGTGGTAAACAGGAAAAGGGAATCTTTTACCCTACGTAGTACATGCGTAAATTTGGCACTTGTGAATCCAGTGTGATGTACTGCCATTCTTACGATTTCCAATTTGACTTTTATTAGAGCTTGCGATGAGGGAAGTAGCATCGCTCTTCTGATGAGAGCCGCTATGGTGGCATTGACATATTGCGATGGTTGAAATGCATCAGCTGGAATGATATAGGGGACTTATGATGCACTGTAAACTGCGGTCCTTGTAGTGACTTCTGTATCTGCATATCCAAAAATGTTATAGATTGATCCTGCTTCTTTTCCCATGTGAAATTGATGTTGAAATGGATGCTTGAAAGTTGCTGCATAAATCGGATAAACCCCTCTTCTGAATTTTCCCATATTAGTAGAATGTCATCTACATAGCGCAAGTATAGTGATGGGTAGCACATAGCAAGTGGAGCTTTGAAAGTTTTTTGTTCCACGTCCCTCATAATGAGCTTGGCTAATACTGCTGAGAGTGGAGAGCCCATGGGAACTCCTTGCTTCTGTAAATAGATTTTCTGGTTGAAGCGGAAATAGTTGTTTTCAGTGATGAAGATCAACGCTTCACGAATGTCTGGCACTTGTTGAACCATAAAACCTTTTCTGAGGAGCATGGCGTTAGCTAGCATTACAGCTTCAAATACAGGAACGGATGGGTACAGCGATATCACGTCCATTTTGTAGAACATGCTGGTATTGCCATGTTCTTTTGCCATGTTAGAATTAATGATGGTTTTGGCATCTATAGAGGAAGGAGTGACTTGTGGTGATTCTGGAAGTAGCTCTCATAGAAACTTTGCAAGGGCTTTTTCTAGGTGGTAAGTGGGATGTGACCTTTTGTTTACTAATGGTCGTAGTGGCCAGTTCTCTTTATGTGTTTTTGGCTGAAAAAATAGCCTAGGGCATGCAACGTTGGATGGAGGATCAAGGCGTCCTGGTAGTGTTAAGGCTATTCCTGGAAGTGCTATGATTTTCTTTGCTCTTCGCAGTATTGCTGGTGTTAGGTCGCTGTTTATCTCCACAGAGCGTGATTGTAACAGAAACTCATTGGCTCTAGTGATGAAGTCATTTTCTCTGCACAAAACAAATCTTTTGTCCTTGTCCGATACTAAGAGCCTCAGATCGTTCTTGGCCAGGAATTTCGTTACTGCTTGTTGGTTTTTGCGACTATTTGGTGCATCGGAGATGTGCTTTGTTGTAGCAAGTTTTGTGATGACTTCTAACTCCATTTGCTGGTACATGGGTGCAGTCTGGCAGGCTTTTAAAGCTGGTAAGGTGGCTGGGACTAACTGGTCGAAATCCGATCTCATAGGATGTGAGATATACTTGGGACCCTGTTCCAGTGTGTTATGCACGATTATGGGTACTTTCTCTTTTGTATAATTGTAATATGGAGTGGTTACTACTGCCGTTTTTTGCGTACGTGTCGAATTGAGTAGCCACTGGAGCTTTTTGTCCAACTTCTTTTTAATTTTCTGCGTGGAGATCGATGTTATACTTTGCACTTTGCCCAGTTGAACGTACAACGTGGAGGGGTCACATGCTTTGGAAAAGTACAGATGAGCTACATAGGTTTTTTGCTCTGCTTCTGCAAGGCACTTGCGTCAATTTCTAAATTATAACGTTCAGAATTACCAAACGTTATAATTTAGAAATTGACAAGGGAAAAAAAATATTTCCGTTTTCTACTTGGAACACTGCACGTTCTAATTTTCAAATTTGTTCTTTTTTTGCCTGATGACGACGATATAATACTCATCGAAAGTACTTGCGATATAAGAAAAATCGTATTAACACTGAACTCAGTGCTTTTTATCAAGAAGCTATTAATACATTGTCCTTTTTACACCTGCTTATAAATTTCAATGGTCTTGGCAGTTCTGAGTTTTTGAGCATTTACCTCTCCCCATTGGGGGAAAATGCTGGGCTCACAAATTGGGCTAATGCAGTATGTATTTCCTTTTTTGGATGTCATATGCATGTTCTTTAATTCTGGTAGTTAACAATCTACCTGTGAAGCCTATATATGCTAAGTAAGTGTTAAATCTCATATACACTAATAATAATCTATAAATCTCAGAATTCCTTTGTAGGTTTATTTCATCTTTACCATTAGTTAGCAGTTTAAATATAGTAGGCCAACTTGTATAGACTATTTTTTTGTTTAAAGTTACTATTTTTGTATACAAGTTATGTAACGTAGGTATGAAGTTTAGAACTATCCTTTTTTGATTTGTGCTGTTATTCATCTTGCTGTCACTATTGCTTTTATCTTTTATATCTCAAATAGGCTGAAAATAAAATTTGTGCTGTACCTATATTTAAAGGGAATTTCCATATATCTTATTTCTTGTTTAGTGTGTACTGTGAGAGAGCAATGAGTATACTAACAAAGAGTGAGTGATTTAAAGCCACAGTTGTTAAATGCTCATAGGAGATCTTCTATTTTAGGCTTGTCTCTCCAAATCCAAAATGTTGTCTACATACCTCACATACAATTCTATGCGAAAGAAATCCCTTAAGATTTGCTGTTCAAGAAAATATATAACCAATTTGCATAAATTTCCAGATAGGTCTTTCCATTGAGACTCCTCACTTTTGCATGTATGTTGTATTGTTGAAAGCAAAAAAGGAGTTGCATATTAAGCTTAGGATCATGTGAAGTTCATTACTGAAAGGCAGGGAAGGAGAATCAGCTGAAAAATACATGATTCCTAACCCTGATATCCTAACTTCTGATTTTGATTCTCTAAATCTGATTCTGATCCCTGCTGAAAGATGCTCTGTGCCTGTTAATTCAATTGATTTTAACTTGGATATGAGCACCAAAGGGTTGAATAAAGTGTATTGGTCACATCTTTTAATTTTAATTTATATAACATCATTAAAGTATAGAATACACCATATTTCAAATGTCTAAGTTTGTTCAAAATGTACATTGGTAGAAATTCTTTTATATAAAGGTGTGAAAAAGTTTTCGTAATCTAAGGAGGGACATTAAAGTGGCCAAAACATTTGTTTTCTTCTATTTATTTAATGTTTAACACGTTAACTGCTTGTTGTAATATGATACTTTCCATCAGGGGGGGCCAAAAAATGAAAATTTGATATCTAATAATTGATTATAACGTAAATAAAAGGGTCGATGTACAACAGTCAGGAGAGCGACAATAAGAAAAATATATATAAACAAAGACCAGGGAGTCGTATGACCTTGAACCTGACACTGCTTTCTCCCAGGCAATAAATTTTACAACCCCACTGTAATTAGACGTCCTTCCCTACTTAAAAGTATTTACATCTGTGTGTTAAAGTATTTCACACTTTGTTTCGACTGCAAATGATGTTTTTTTTCTGTAAATATATATTAAAACGCACTTATATACTTTAATTTTTTTTTATAATATTATTTACTTTATATGCGATAAAAGAGGATAATTAAACTAATTTTCGATATTTTAAATTATTTACTATTAAAATAAACCACTATCAGATATAAAATAGAGTTTTATTTAAAAAAAAAAACTACGACTGCCGACCTTGTACCGTGTCACGACGTGCCGGCGGTCGTAGCTAGAACCGGTTTGCCATACGACCGCCGGCGTTTGAAGCCAACTGAATAGATGTCCAC